TTAAAAAGAAAGGAGAATAAAGCATACGGATGTGATAAAAAAATTAAAAAGAAAGAACTAAGATAAAAAGATAAGATAAGATAAGATAAAAACCTTTAGTACAAATGCAAAATAATTTTAAGTTTACTATGATAACGCTAGGCCGAAAGGAACATCACGATATTTGTTTCCAAAATGAAATGTTCGAAAGCAGCCCATTGTTATCATAGCCTGCGACAGGTAAGGTCAGTGGACTCCTTTCAGAAGGGCGGCTCGCATTTCCTGATTGGTAACTCGTGCACGTGTGGGTTGTGGCTTGCACTTTTCTCGTTCAAACTACAGTAAAAAGTCCTTTTATCGAGATGAATAGACGACAACAAACGTGGAACCGTTTGCAAGATGAAATGAAGGCGAAGAGGAAGCGACCGGACCCTCGCGGAAAAGGCAAAAGCAAGAAATCTGGTTCCGCTCCGCACGAGTTAATCGTGCAACGTTTAGCATCTGAGCCAGACAACAAACAAACGTTTAGGCCAGTCCAACCAAGAGAGTTTGTGGCGTTTCCTTACGAGGATCTTACGCTAGCAAACTTGAAGAAGGCTCTCGCTGACCATTACAGTTTGCCAGAAAGCCTATGTGATGTTCTTGTCACAAACAAGGGACCCTCTTGTATCACCATGGAACAGATCCCTCATAGAAAGGACAAGGTGAGTTCGTGTACGAAGCATTTAAGCTTAGGTAAGTAAACAATAGCGCAAAAATATTCTCGGGTAAAACTAGAGGAAAACTGTATTAAAGGACCAATGTCCGACTATATTCGCGCCTGACAAGGCCTCTCAACTTGAGACTTTTGAAAACTATTTAACATGTAAGAAACTCTGTTGGCTTTCAAAATAGTTCCATTCCGTTTAAGATGTTCAGCTTTATTCAGTTCAATAATTTAGTTGGGATAAAAACTAAACGTGCACGCATATAAAGGTCGGCACAGACAAGGGGACTAGTCACAGGGACTTGCTTTGGGAACCAGTCCCCTAGTGTGTACCCGTATTTTGCATCAAAATTCTAGCCGCAGGGACCACATTTTTGGTCCCTGCGACAAGTCCCATGAATTAAGCTGATTTAATTTCTGGGACTAGTCGCAGGGACCAATAGTCCCACAAATTGGTCAATTTTCTAGTGTGTGCACACTTAGTCCCTGCGACTAGTCCCCTAGTGTGTTCCTAGCTTAAGGGGGTACATTCTTGGATATTTCCCAGTTTTAGCTGGTACATATTCAGTCACATGACACGTTTAGACCTATCGCATGTACAAAAAAATAATTTGTTTATAAGTTAAAGAGGGTCATTCCATTTAAAATAAATTTAGCCCGAGACCATACCCACTTCCCACTAGAGTCAACTCTCGCCTTGCGGACACCCCGCTATTAGGGACCGGTCATTATTTAGAGGGGGGGGGGGCTGGTGCAAAATTAGGTATGCCATGTTTCATTTTTCCTGACCCCCCACTTCATGAAGCACATTTTTTTCTAACCCCCCCCCCCCCCCCATAGATATACAATCGCACGTACACACACACTTTTAGTACACCAACACATATAACTTTCTATTGGTACTTATTAAATGCATTATTCAGTACCTTTTTTCACATTCTGAACTAAGTAGCCCTCCTCCCAGAACCATTGAATACTTGCATAAATTTATATGGCCCCCCCCCTTTTGTCCCTGCATAAAAATCGATGACCCACCCCCTATTTGCACCAATCTTCAGAACTCATAGTTAAAGAAGACCGAGATACGTGTTTTGTTAAATTTCTTGCTTTTTTAATGAAGTTTCTTTCAGCGAAAGTCACAAAGTTAGCTAGGTTTTGTAAACGAAAACGGTGGCGGGAAAAATCTGTAATGCCCGTGGGCGTTTACCGGGAAAGTACGGATCGCTAATTAACCAATGAGAACGCGCGTACTATCGCAGCCATATAATAAAGTGACTTAAAACACAAAATTTTCCAAAAAATTGCAAAATTTAAGTGTTGCGAAATATTTGAACCTCAAAATCACGAAATTAACGTGTCACGAAAAATTCATGTAATAAGGT